ATTTTGTGGCTGTATACAAATTGTGCTTGGTAACAGAAAGCTTTGCAGTTGGACAGAAAACTGCATATGCTGAAACCATCATTGCAAGACAACATATTATTTGAAGGTTCCGTGAGACAGGTTCCCCAATCCAAATCTCTGCTTGTGATGTTTCATCTGCATGGAGCGATGTTTCCATAACATTCATGAACCATGGTGAATTGTCACACAATGGTCTTTTCTTTGAAAAAGGTACCTATCAGCTCAACGCTTGCTGTGGTCAGTCACCATTTCCATCATAAAGTTCTACTTTTTTGTACTTACAAAATATGGCAATAAAATATCATGCCAAGATTAAACTTGGCATACAAGTTCTGTCCAGAAGTAATCTCAATTAATCCTTTTCAGCTAGCAAGTAAATTGACTTAGTAATTTTTAAATCACTTGAAAATGAAAGCTGTAGACGTTCTGGTTCTCACCATTTTCTTGCAGTCACAGGTCCGCAGTTTCAGCACCCCTTAACTGCTCAGCTAAAACACTTTGCATGGACTCCTTCTGAACTTGAATGTCCTGGGGAGGCTTTGTGCCATGGATAGGATTACATATGCTGCTCCCTGCCTCGCCTCAGCTATAGAGAGTGAGGCTGAAGGAAGACGTTATAACTGGATTATTATGTGCTGTGCTGCTTGGAGCTCAGAATTGAATATAATAGACTCGTGTGTTTCCCATTTGCACCAGTGGAGATGCTGGCTGCTGGAACAGGGACCTCATAGCCTTGACAAGCATCTCTCAGACACATCATGGAATCACTTGGGGTATTTCCAGGCAATCATACAGAGGCATCTATATTCCTCATTCTACTCTTTCATGAACTGCTTACGGAGAATTAGACTGGTAGAAATCAGTCTGGCAAAGTGTTCTGGAGCACTGTATTTTAACAGAAGGACAGTCTACTATAATACTTGATTCACAATTTTTTGGATAGTAAATGTAGTAGAGGTATTTTTCAAAAACTGTTTTTCTTTGCACTTAAATCTAAGTTCTGCCTGTTCTCTGCGCCATCAGAGATTTGTTGTCTGCAGCTGTCTAGAGGCTCTCGCTTGCATTAGGATTCCACCGTGCTGGGTGTTAGTCAGCCCTTCACAACTTCCAACCCTGAACCTGCATCTGAACCCCAACATCCATCAAGTTTCACCAGTGCATCCTAAGGGCAAAGAGATCTTTGCTAATGGATCCTACTGTGGAAACTGATCTTCATCCGTATTTGAAGTGATTTGTTTTCCCATCTGCAGATTTCCAAGAACAAAGAGGGAAAGTAAATTATTACTCTGAGTATCTGCCCCATTCTGATTAATCATGCCCATGACGCATGCAAAGACTTCTTGCGACCACTATTTGTTGCTATCATCAAGTCTCAGCTGCTGTCTTTTCTAGAGCATTTCAAACTGTACATACACTTCACAGTTCAGCTTTCCTGTTGCTACAATGTGTTAGCAATTAATGTACAATAAACAAGCAGACAATTGTTCCATTTCCAGGGAATAAAATCTCCAAGGATATAAAATGGAATAGAAGCTATCCATCCTTCCCCATACCCTGAGAGTTAAAAATAGAGCAAGCAATTAACTCCCCGAACACACTACGTGGTTTAGGCCATAGTTAAACAGCCACTTCAATTTGGCATATGCTTTTACTGCTCCTGAAGTCCTGTCCTCTCCTTACCCTTAACTATTCACTCCGTGCTTCTCCTTGGTCTTAGCACAAGAGTTCAAGCACCCCTTTGATAAGGTGGGCCAAAGAGCTGCCTCTACCAAAAACAAGGGTTTTTTTGCTTAGCTTAGCTTTCGGCTGGGTCAGCCCCCTTGATATGACTCATTGTAGTACCACATAAATGCCAGAGGAGGAGAGGGTGAGATGAGGTGAGGATTGCATAAGCTGGTGTGACTGCCAAAGAAACACTCATGCAACCACAGTCCCTGTCTTATTCCTGGGGGCAGAAATGTGAGAGGGAGCCTGCTTTCTCCACCGACTTGTTCTCTGTCGCTCCCCTTTGGCAGTGGCAGCCTCCCAAGTCCTTGGAGTCTGGAGCAGCTTCTCTGGGTAGCAGGATTGCTAAGAGGTGCTGGGAAAACCCCAGCAATGCACCGCTGATGATCAGCCCTTGTAACAGGACAAACAAATACAATCAAAGGACATTGCTCTGATCTGATGCAAGGCAAGTGAAGTTTCTCCTTTGTCAAGATGCTGTCATTGCTTCCCCAGTTCAAGGGCTGAAGAAGGAGGTTATAGGGTTGAGAAAATGGACCCTGAGAAGATGAGGAAAAGAGCAAAAGTAAAAATTGTAACATTTCATTACACTTTCACCTGCAAATCTCTTCTTTTCCCTAAGCAGATCCTGTGCTCAACAGCCAGAGGTCACTAAAAGATGAGGATTTTCCTGCTGCCTGCAGCGAACTTCACTTTC